CAACTTAAGGTGACATAGATACTATATTATGGTATAGTATTTAAATATATGCCTAAGAAACACATAATATTGCCCCTTTAAAGAACTGTTGGATTAAATATGAAATCGTTTTTTCAGTTCTAATAACCCAGAAGACGTTTCTAGGAATCAACTTAATTCAGTATCAGAATTACTCAGAATAACTGATTTGAAGGGTGCCACCGTTAGAGAAATGATGACATCAAGAGAACATCTGTACGTCAACAGTCAGTTCACCTTCACCTGATGCTAACGACATCAATCAGACGTCTAAAATCTGCACCATGAGAGCTTCATCTTCCTCCCTCCGCCCTTCATCTCTTCCCTCCCAGGAGTCAGAGTCTGAGCGGCCTGATGTGAAAAACTGCTGCAGCAGCTCCTCAAACATCCGACAGATCCTTCGCCCTGCCTCTCCTCCATTTTTTTTCCCTGCTCCCCAGTCACTCATAATTTGCCAAAGCTTTATTTGTCGCCAGCCCACCCGTTCCGAAGCCTCGCGGGGACGTTGGGAGGGTGCCGCCGAGTCAGGGAGTCGACACGATAAGTTTGAGACGTTCAAGGGTAGCTGCCGTCTCAAAACGCTCACTTTAAATTTAATCCTTTGCGAGTAAGACAGAGTTTAGAATGTGACAGCTCTAACATCTGCGATTCTGAAGTTTGAAATATCTCCCAACATCTCAGAGACTCGAGTCTTCTTGTGTCGACACAGATTTGTGCAGGGCGAAAAGAACGAGGAGGTTATCGTGTAAATCRGTGCCGACTGAAGATAGAGTCAAGCCTCCCTGCAGCGATATCAGCTGCTGCAGCTCCTGCATTATAATTAAATTTAAATCACAAAGATGAGCGTCATTTCACGATACGAGCAGTTTTAATACAAGCCAGAAGCCTGTTTAGGAACGCAACATACGGTGAAGCCATTTCCAGAACCTTTAAATGAAACTAAAGCTTTATTTCAATTTTACTTTCAACTCATCCCCAGACAGCTAAAACAAAAAGATTATTTTTCCCGTCACTTCAGTAGAAAACATAATGGAATGTATATTAGTTTCTTCATTATCAGTGACTTTTTAAAATACTATAGAAAAGAAGAAAAAGGGAGAATGGGTAGCGGGAAACGAAGCTTCGAGCGGCTCGAACCAAAACTGCAGTCTGTCAACATCTGACTGAAACTGTTCTCCTCTGCATGTATGAATGTGTGAAAGATGACACACTAACAAAATCGTTTAGTTTTGTTACAAATATTATTTATACATGTATTCATATCCTAATGTAATTCACAGTGATGGAATGTTTTAGCTGTAGTACTCTCTTTTTTCTTGTTAATAAGTTTTATTGAACAGAAGGGAACAGAAACATTACAAATATACAGTTTTCATACGCTCAAAAGAGTGGGCAGAAGTATATTTATATTAGCCCACCTCTTCTCCTGTAACCTTATTACATCACTTCTTAATGATCAAAAAATTATTCTTAGTTTCTTAAAAAAACTAATGTATCCAACAAGCAATTCCTTTTCAGTTTAAACTTTTGAAACTTGAGACAGTTTTGTCTCAAGATTAAACTCCAATTTACAAGTTTGTCCTTAATGTTTATAATTTTACCAATGCACCTTGATATCTTTGCAGGTCCTCCGGAGGACCCAGACTCCCCGGTCGTGGCGGGCCGGGTCCTTGGTAGACCGGGAAGACTGCAAAAAAAGAGGCTGTGAATTTGGACGGTCTCTAGCCTCCCCTCCACCCCGGCGTACATCATGTCACCTAGCAACCATGATG